TTCTTTGATAGTATGGCTGACCGTGTTGGTAAGTAAATGTGTGTGTGGAATGTGTGCTTGATTCGGGTTCAATACTTTTGGTGGGTTTGCACATGTAGGTCATACACTTACCTGTTTGTAGGTGAAATTGATGGCTATAATATCCCAGAAGTGCGGGCATGTCCTGAGGTTGGCCAGTACCTACATATGCCTCTGGCTCAGCTGGCAAATCAAGTGCCTCGAGAGATGGAAGGTGTGGCGAAGCGACTCTTCTGCGACGGTTACATGTACCTTTATCAGAGCAAGACCATGTCTCTATATCGATGATTAAATCAACAAATACGGTTCATGTCAATAACTGAGAATGTGCAATCTGATTATCTATGACTAGGGTCTGCTTAGTAATGCCTTCTAATAATGATATGTTCTTTTCAAGGGAAATCATGAAACTATATGCTTCTGCTCCATATTTGAGCATTTATCGGTCAAATATTTACACTTTCTGTTGGAATTATTTACTTTCTGTGTGGCATTGCCATATTGGATTGCCTGGGTGGGTGGTACATGCTCTTTTAAACATGCTGGATGAAGATGGTGCAGCTGATATCCTTGATTTAGTGATTTAGACTTGAATAAAACTACTCAAATTGTCAAAGTGCCTTTTATGTATATAAGAAATAATAATATTATCATTTTCTAATCTTACTTAAATGGAAAGAGTTTTTATATTTTCTATTCAAATGCGTATTGCTGAACTGTGAGCAGACCTGTGTAGCTTGCTGCCTAACTCATGTTAGTAGAAAAGGGGGTCAAGACATTTTTGTTTACATTTAAAACTGACAAGATAAAAGATTTTGTTTCTATAACTATGAAATTGATGGCTTGCATAACTTAATTGTATTGGTTCTTGAGGTCCATTTAATAATTCTGTATGAAGCTCTCTGGCTACTGAATATTATTGTGAGCAATACTGTATGTAATCACTGCGTCATCAATTATCTGTCAAAGTATTTTGATTATGCTTTCTCTTGAATTAGTTTGTTTTAGTGTATTTGATTTAATTCCAATGAAAAAGATCAACTAAAAAAGAAATGTCTTGACAGGAATTACATCCTCTACGTCCTCTTTCGCTCTCTTCGTGTGTGTTTGTGTGAGAGACTTAGATCTCAGCTCATTACATTCCTTCCCTTACCACACAGGAATAAACCTGGATGAGACTTTGCTTGTGTTTTTCGTTACATCATCGTAAACTGTAACTGATGGAACAGTAGCTGTTTAGACTGCAAGAGGTGGAAAGGACTCACGACAACACTGCACTGAAATCTTAAATTAAGACTGGATAAGTAAAAGTGATTTGGAATAATCTGTGCTGTGCTAATAATACACTTGGATGTAGGCACTTTAAGTGCCTTAAGCAACAGGCTTCACTGTAAACATTTACACTAAGTTATAATATTTATTTTCTTCCCATATAGAGATAAATGACTTCCTGACTTGATCCTTTCTACTGCTTTAAATCACATTAAATAAAAAGTGAATTTAGGCCTCCCGATGTTATGCACAGTATAGAAATTTGTATTTGCTGATTTGCTAAAGGTTACATTTAGCAGTGGTATTACATTATTGCTTATAAAGTATTACTTGAAGTGAGATGTCAGCAAATGTAATCTAAATAGTGGAAATAAATGGCGCAATTAAAAATCCAAAATTGTTCGATACGCTTTATAAAAAATTTAAAAAATCTTTAATACAGACCAATAACTGTTGACGTATATTGTGC